ACTTGGTACAAACTTTCGGATCAAAACATGGTTTTTCTTCAAGAACACATGAACATTATTTTCTCTTTCTAAAACAAACTTTAAATCAATGCATGGCTCATGAATCATGCTAGATCATGAAATGCAATCTGATCAACATAAGAATAACAAGAGTAAATCAAGATTCTAACCTCAAAACATGGATTAAACGTCTCAAACTCTAAAGATCATGCTTGGAATCTAGCTCTCTCACTCCAACTTCCTCTCCTCTTCCTAGAGCCTCTCTCTCTACCATGCAAGAGATATGACACAAATGATATAATTCTAACTCTGCCAGCTGACTTAACCCTCTGTTAGGACACGTGGCAATGGCTGATTGGATCTCCCCAAAATGGTGATAGATTGATAAGACAAGAGTATGACAAAGTGTAAGCAACAAGTAAAGTGACAGGGCACCACGGCGAGTAATGATCTTGGCTAGGACAAAGCTTCGGCAAGTAAGATCTCAATGATCTCGGCTAGGAAGGACAACACTTGGCCTAGCTGTGCCACACCTTGGCCTAGATGTGCCACACCTCGGTCTAGGTCGTACCAGTCCAGGGACAAGACCACTTGGGTATAACATCTCGGCCTAGATAATACACATCTCGGCCTTGGTGATGAACACCTCGGCCTAGATACTGACATCCCGGCTAACATGTCAGGGTGAGGGTGGAGGTCAACCAAGGTGGTTCCAATATGGTCCTAGGTGTTAGAAGTTCAAAGGTGTAACCTAGGCTTAGGATGACCTCGGCTAACTCACACCAAGCAAGAAACAAAACATGCAAGCAACACTTATGAGAAACAAAATCAAGGTTTGGAATGCAACTTAACAAGACAAGATCATGTAAATACATGCAAGCATGACTAGAGTAAAGTGAGGGTTGCTACAATATGTATACTTTGATTGTGTGAATCCTTGCAAGTTGGCCTTTGGTAATCTCAGATTACTGACCACCATGGCACTATTCTACTAGGGTCAGAATGGGGTCATAACAGTGAATGTTCACAGTATCAACGTTAACATTTACACGTCAATGTGAATATTCACATTGTAAAATATGAATGTTCATATCACCAAATTGCTAACCGTTCAAAAAATATTTGTAAGGGTAGAAATGTCCATAAAATACCTTAAATATGAGAATTATGATTTGGTAGATCAAATGTTCAATTAATAGGACTTATTGGAATATAATAATATCTTATGGATTAATTGAGATACAAACACTTGAAAATTGATTTTTTTAATAAATCTCCACAAAATTAACCTCTCTCATAAGCCTATAAATAGAGGCTCTCACTATGGGGATATGGATAGATTGTTTTTGACTAATGGCCCTGCAAACTTCCATACAATCTTGAGACTCTATCAAAAAAAAATTCTGAAAATTATTTCTAAAGTTCTTCAAACTTAAAATGAGAGGATTATCAAGCACTTTGAACTTGTGCCAATCCTTTCAAGTTACAAATACAAATTTGATCTCTCATTCCAAAGAGATCATTTCAAGACTCGTTCGAGATCATGCCGTTCAAACTCTCGATCAAGCCTGTTTTCTTCGAGTTTCTCCATTCGAAGACTTGAAAAAATTCTTCAACTTGTCTAGTTCAACAAAAAGCTTTTACAATAGTTGAATTATAACTATTTCAGAGATCAAATCAAAGGATCTATTCTTTTGTATAGCAAATTTACAAAGGATTGTACCAATTTATTATAATCAATAAAATTAATTATTTGTGCATTCATTTTGTGTCTTAATTGCAAGATACGAAATTTGTGTTTAGAACAACTCCATACTTAAATCATTACTCTAAAATCAAATGGAGCCAAATATCTTATTAAGACTATTTATTTTCTCACAAAAATTGATGAGATTTAGTGATAAACAAATTGCTTGATTGTAAAATATTTATAATATCAAATTATTTCGTAAAATACAATAACAATAAAAATCTCACTCATATTTTTCTTTTACATAATTAAGTTTTTACTCATCCAAACATCGTAATAAAAAAATACAATGGTTGCGTTTGTTAGAGGTTTAGAATTATGATTTGAGAATAGAGTTATATTTTGAGTTTGTGAGTTTTGGAATTATGATTTGAGTGTGAAAATTTTGTTTGGTTATGAAATTTGAAAAGAGTTTTGAATTGAGTAATATTTCATATGATATTTGATTCAAAAATTTACAACTCATAACCAAACACACAACCCATAATTCTATTCAAAATTCATAAAAAATTTAAAAAAAAAAAATTCAGAATATTTTTTATTTAAAATATAAAAATAATAGGTGCCAAAAAAAAAACACACAAACTCTGTTCCGGTTAACCAGCCAGACATCCGGGAGGATGATTGAGTAGACCCAAAATTCAAAAATCCTCTGCTTTTCAGAATGGAGAACACGAGAATGAGAGTAGCCAAACAGGAAAGAGAAATATGTTTTGAAATGTGTGGTGGAATCAAAATTTCAAAACTCCATCCAAATAATACATACAAACAAAGAGGTGAAATTAAGTTTTCAAAGTTGCACCAAAGAAAATCAATAATTTAATTTATTTTCTTTTCTCCAAACCCAAACGGATCAGTGTATGGATGAAAAATGGTTGAGACCACTAAAAGTGGTGCTCTAATAGCACCACTAATGATGTGGCAGTGGGCCCCGCCCACTGCCTATGCCTATGCCTTGTTTTTTTTTTTTTTTGACACTTATTTTTTTTAAGTTTTCTGTGACTATGCCTTTGCACTGATAGGTGATGAAATAGCCAAAATTGTTGGGGAGTAGGCTCCCCTCAAGACTACATCTTCTCCATACTCCCTCAGGACTCTATTTTGTGGGCTCCATAGTTTTGTGATTTGAACCGTTCATCTCGTAGTTCAAAGAGAAAAATATAAAAAAAAAAAAAAAAAAAAAAAAAAAAAAAAAACTAATTGTGTTTCATTTTATGAAATGGATGGTACATATGAATCTTAATAAAAACCATTGATCTTATAAGACAAAATATGGTAAGTTACTATGCTTATTGATATTCAATAAAGTTAATTTTTTGCATATATGTTCTACTCTATTGGCCATACAAGATGAGCGGTTTGGATCACCTTCCTTGGTTACATGGAGCCCACAAAATGAAGTTTTGAGAGATAGGATGAAGTCTTGAGGGGAGCTGCCCCCAAAATGTTTGAGTGAATTTCATGAGACTAAAAGTCCATGTGGTTTGGGACTTGGGAGGGTAAGACTAGATGTAAACCTTGTCTTTCCACTATTGGCGCAAAGTGGTTGCTCTCTGACTCGAGAAAACATTCTTATGCTTGTCAGTATTGTACTAAATAATGATGTGGACACATATTTGACAGAGCCCTATTATGTTCATCAAATTGATGAAGTTGTATATACTTAAAAATGAATGTTCTTGTGGTAGGTACATGATGGTTCCAGCTTCCTTGTACCTGGGATTTTCTGCTTCAATAATATTTCCCTAACGATATTATAGTCCATCAGGGTACATATCTTACTTCTGCAGCACACAGTCATGCACATGATTTAAACTTAGAAAAAGGAAACGTGATTGGTAACTTCAATGGAGAATTTTGGGGAATGTTTGCAGGTCACCAGGTGTTGCATTTTAGTTTTTGATGACAATTTTAATGATCTTTGGTTCTAATAAGAATATATTCAATTTGTTTTGTATGGATGTTGTGCATCTGGAATAGTCTTCATTTTTTTATTGAATTTTGCAGTTCGTTGGAAACCTCATGTGTCTTTTTCTATTAAAAGATGGAACGATATGTGCATGCTTGTGATTCCAAGCTGATTTCCATGTCCTATATTTTTCTATGTTGTTTGTTGTATTACCAGTACCAATTCATTATCATAGATTTAGTTGTTAATGCTTGCATTACACTCGAGAAACTCTAACCTTCATTGTACCAAAAAAATTATTTAATGTTAAATTTCTCTTTTGCATCTCTAATGCAATTTTAGCTATAAGTTAGCACTGAAGTGAATGATTTTTATTTCCTTTTTTCCCCCTCTTTGGCTAAGGGAGGCTTTCCCTTTTTCTTTTGTTTCTTTAATAATTTCTTTAGTGGACGTTTTTATGATAGTTTTTTTTTTTTTTTATTTTAAAAAGGGGATAAAATCAAGGGTCCCAAACCTTTTTCGATAGTCTCAAAATCAATCAATGAAGAGAGTTTCAAGAGGAATGACTTCCCTTAGTTGGTTTGAGTGGCATAACCCATTGGAGTAGTTGTCTATCCATGGGAAACAATTGTCTAGCCATGTCGACAATTAGAGCTATAGAGTTTTCGACATGGTTGGCTCCCATTTTTGGCATTCCTTTTGTTAGAAAATTTTGTCAAATTGACAAACTTGACCATTCCATTCTGCGAATCCTTCACACCTCTACCCAAGTATCTGAAGGGTATCAAGGTCTAAAAAAAAAGTTGATACAGTATCCAACACATGTCAAAAAGTGTCCAATGAGTGCTAGTGTCGGACATGCATCGAGCACGGAAACGCGCCTTCTTAGTAGTGTCAAGAAGTGTACGTGTTTCTTAGGTTGTTCAATATATATATTTTAAGATAGCAAATAAAATATTAAAATATACATAAATTACTTGTATCAGTGCCATCCTTGACAGCAATATACCACTATCTTTCATTTGGTTGTAGAAAAATTAAAGCATTGTAGATTCTACCTCAGTGTCAGAATCTATGATTTTTTTAGTTCTTTCAAAACACTCACATCTTTAATTTGTTATTCTTTCTTTCACATCACTGCAGGGGGGAACTACCAGTGGCAGTGGCACAACTTTACTAGATATTGTGTTCGTTTGTAGTATGACCTTAGGTACCATACTCATGTGCTTCTTACAAAAGAGGGATGCTAAAGGAGAGGAGACTTTACCAGATTCGTCTGTCAATTTCTACTCTTCCATAGTTTCTTTGTCGAAATCTGTCATCGCTCCATTGTTTGACTTACGACAAGCATTTGTATGGTAATTGTTGATTAACTTATGACATTTTACTTTTTTATTGTCCTTTGACCATTCAATTTGTGCACTATATACATTGTAACATTTTCTTCAATTAAGCATGGAACGCATTTACAATTTTAAGGCTGAATACACCAAGTACATTGCGGAACCTGCACTTGGTGAGTCTAGTGTAGGCGGTGCTATGGCAGTGTATGGGGCTTTTGATGCAATTGTAAGTATGGCAATGCAGAAATGAGTACCTTTACGGAATGGTTTACATGAATTAGCTCACTTGGTGAGTTTGTTTCGGTTTTACGTACATTAATTTTGACAAGGCATGTTCTTCGTCTCTTTCTTGTTGAGTTGGAGAAATAAAAATGAATTGAGTGAACAACTTTAAATTTCATTAACCCTTTCCTTTTGTAAGCAACAAGAATAACAAATAATATATCATTTTCCATATTTATTCTCTATGGGTTGTGTTGTGTGTTTGCAACAATATACAAAATTTCATTTATTGCCCTAGTGGTACTTCACATGGATAATATGGATGGATAATCATATACTGTGTTCTGTTCCATAATCTTATTTTCCCCACGGTATGTGCATTCATGTTATTACTCACAACCTCTGCTATGATCTCTAGCCTCATATGTTTTATAGGAAATTATTCAATAATAATGTGGCATAGGATGTAAATACTATTGCACCTCAAGTTCGCTAAAAGTTAAAAACCCAAGAAAACCTTCTTTGTTTTATAATTTGTCATTTGTTTGATTCATTAAGTTTTTCAGACTCAGGTTATATCTGGAATATGTGTCAGTGTTCGCTGGCTATGGGTCAACTCACCTCTGGTCTCAAGTCAATCACTCTAATAGTTTGTGTTGGAGCTTTCATTCAGTTAACTGTACTGCTTTGGCTTCTACTGAAGTACAGGTTAGGTTTCTTGTCGATTCCAATTAAAGTTATTTAGAATCTAAAGTTTTTAATTATATATAACTATATCTGATTTGAAGTTGCTATGACTTTATCAGTTCTTGTTAAGTGTGCCATTGTGTAGCGTAACGAGTGTAGTACTCGGCATTTTATACCCCCTTCTTATGGCAGCCGCATTGGGAATTGGGGATGGAATATTCAACACAAAGCTTAATACTTTTCTTGGGATGCTCTATAAGCATGATATGGTAGTGATTTTATTTTGTTTGTGTTTACTAAGCCTTTTTTAGTTTGATTTATACTCTTTTTCACGCAAGTGTTGACACGAGAAGTGCATGCCTTGAGTTGAGTGTATGAATAAGTGATGGATGTGTGTCCAAACCGTGTCTAGATCTAAAAAATATAAAAAAAAATAAAAATAAAATTAATGACACATTTGGACGTGTATCCAACACATTATCTTCTTAGAGGTGTTTGTGCTTGGGCGATCTAATTGAGATGCATGTGGGATGAAACTGTGTATTTATTTATTTATAAAAATAAATAAGTAAATCAATGGATGTAATTGTGAAAACGTATGTTTTATGGCTGAAGACAAGGTATATTGAGATTCTTGAGACGTAGATTCCATATATTGAAGGGAATTAGGAAAACTTGTTCCTTTAGGAAAGTTAAAGATATGGGTTCCACAAGTGTTATCCTAATTGAACAATTAAACAAATACGAGAAAATTGACTTTTGTGTATTGTACTCTCCTTTATAATGTTAGTTATCTTAATGATTTTCATACTTATGTCTAATTTATTTCTAATTCAAGTATATTAAAGATATTTGGCCCTCACTTTTTCTTGGTCGTTTCTTTGTGCAAATGCACTTGCATTTAATTCTCAAATGTTACTTTTGGGGTGTACAAGAAGGAGCATTTGCACAGCTCAAGGTTTGGCAGTGTGTTTCAATCACAGTTGTGTTTTTTGTGAGCCCTTACGTTTCTTTGCCTGCTATGTTAATGGTTATGCTTGTTGCAGTCTGCATCTCTGTTGTCGGGTCTCTATTCCTCACTCTAATGGTCGAGAAAGCATTCTCTTGTGCTTATTGATTTTTTGCAACCGAATACGTAATAATATTTATTGCCAAAACATGTATTATTCACGTCTTGCACATTGATTGCCTCAAAAAGTTATATATGCCTGTGAAATTTATTAAATAAGAAAACATGTTCACTTGTTAATGTTTCTTCAAAAGAAAAGTATTGTAATGAATGTAATTATCATTATTGTTCTTTTCTATTGAGAATAGAGTCAATGCGAAAGTTGGCAATTAGTGCAAGTAATATTTTGTGGAATATAGACATCTTTTGTGTGCTAGGCCTGCCTAAATTGGAAACTAGATTACCGCTTTTAGATTTTTATTGATTTATGAAAGAGATTGTTTTTGCTTACATGAACAACTGCATAAATTAAAGGGTAAATTACATTTTGCCCCCTTAAAGTTTCACCCATTTTCCACTTTGGCCTTTTAAGTTTAATTTTTCTCACTTTGGCTCTTCATGTTTGTAATATTTCTCACTTTGACCTTTTAAGTTTAATTTTTTCCACTTTGGCTTTTTATGTCTGCAATCAATTTTACTTTGGCTCTTTATATTCGCAATCTTTTTTACTTTATCCCAATACTAACTTCCATCCAAAAAACTAACAGAATCTGCCACATCACTAACACATCAACTCCATGTGTGATGTAAAAAACTCACTAAAGATGTAAAAAATAAAAAATAAAAAACAAAAAAAAAAAAAATCAAAAATAATGCAGAAGTATATGAGAATGTGCCAAAATCTGGGCAACTAGACTTGATTCCTAAGCTCAACCAACCTACTCCAAATCTTCCCAACACAACCCAAGACTCAAAATAAGGATTAAAGGGTGCAAACAACATACTCTTAACAACCAGCTCCACGGAACCCAAGTCTGTATATAACAAGTAAAGAAAAGGGAAACCGGGATCGCTATACCTCGGCCTAGATAATGACATCCTGGCTAACATGTCAGGGTGAGGGTGGAGGTCAACCAAGGTGGTTCCAATATGGTCCTAGGTGTAAGAAGTTCAAAGGTGTAACCTAGGCTTAGGATGACCTCGGCTAACTCACACCAAGCAAGAAACAAAACACGCAAGCAACACTTATGCGAAACAAAATCAAGGTTCGCAATGCAACTTAATAAGACAAGATCATGTGAATACATGCAAGCATGACTAGAGTAAAGTGAGGGTTGCTACAATATGTATACTCTGATTGTATGAATCGTTGCAAGTTGGCCTTTGGTAATCTCGGATTACTGACCACCATGGCACTATTCTACTACAGTCAGAATGGGGTCGTGACAGTGAATCTTCGCACTATCAACGTGAACATTTACACGTCATTGTGAATATTCACATTGTAAAATATGAATGTTCATATCACCAAATTGCTAACCATTCAAAAAATATTTGTAAGGGTAGAAATGTCCATAAAATACCTTAAATATGAGAATTATGATTTGGTAGATCAAATGTTCAAATAATAGGACTTATTGGAATATAATAATATCTTATGGATTAATTGAGATACAAACACTTGAAAATTGATTTTTTTAATAAATCTCCCCAAAATTAACCTCTCTCATAAGCTTATAAATAGAGGCTCTCACTATGGGGATATGGATAGATTGATTTTGGCTAATGGTCGTGCAAACTTCCATACAATCTTGAGACTCTATCAAAAAAAAATTCTGAAAATTATTTCTAAAGTTCTTCAAACTTAAAATGAGAGGATTATCAAGAACTTCAAACTTGTGCCAATCCTTTCAAGTTACAAATACAAATTTGGTCTCTCATTCCAAAGAGATCATTTCAAGACTCGTTCGAGATCATGCCGTTCAAACTCTCGATCAAGCCTCTTTTCTTCGAGTTTCTCCATTCGAAGACTTGAAAAAATTCTTCAACTTGTCTAGTTCAACAAAAAGCTTTTACAATAGTTGAATTACAACTATTTCGAAGATCAAATCAAAGGATTTATTCTTTTTTAGAGCAAATTTACAGAGGATTGTACCAATTTATTATAATCAATAAAATTAATTATTTGTGCATGCATTTTGTGTCTTAATTGCAAGATATGAAATTTGTGTTTAGAACAACTCCATACTTAAATCATTACTCTAAAATGAAACGGAGCCAAATATCTTATTAAGACTATTTATTTTCTCACAAAAATTGATGAGATTTAGTGATAAACAAATTGCTTGATTGTAAAATATTTATAATATCAAATTATTTCGTAAAATACAATAACAATAAAAATCTCACTCATATTTTTCTTTTACATAATTAAGTTTTTACTCATCCAAACATCGTAATAAAAAAATACAATGGTTGCGTTTGTTAGAGGTTTAGAATTATGATTTGAGAATAGAGTTATATTTTGAGTTTGTGAGTTTTGGAATTATGATTTGAGTGTGAAAATTTTGTTTGGTTATGAAATTTGAAAAGAGTTTTGATCTGAGTGATATTTCATATGATATTTGATTCAAAAATTTACAACTCATAACCAAACACACAACCCATAATTCTATTCAAAATTCATAAAAAAATTTAAAAAAAAATCAAAATATTTTTTATTTAAAATATAAAAATAATAGGTGCCAAAAAAAAAACACACAAACTCTGTTCCGGTTAACCAGCCAGACATCCGGGAGGATGATTGAGTAGACCCAAAATTCAAAAATCCTCTGCTTTTCAGAATGGAGAACACGAGAATGAGAGTAGCCAAACAGGAAAGAGAAATATGTTTTGAAATGTGTGGTGGAATCAAAATTTCAAAACTCCATCCAAATAATACATACAAACAAAGAGGTGAAATTAAGTTTTCAAAGTTGCACCAAAGAAAATCAATAATTTAATTTATTTTCTTTTCTCCAAACCCAAACGGATCAGTGTATGGATGAAAAATGGTTGAGACCACTAAAAGTGGTGCTCTAATAGCACCACTAATGATGTGGCAGTGGGCCCCGCCAACTGCCTATGCCTATGCCTTGTTTTTTTTTTTTTTTGACACCTATTATTTTTAAGTTTTCTGTGACTATGCCTTTGCACTGATAGGTTATGAAATAGCCAAAATTGTTGGGGAGTAGGCTCCCCTCAAGACTACATCTTCTCCATACTCCCTCAGGACTCTATTTTGTGGGCTCCATGGTTTTGTGATTTGAACCGTTCATCTCGTAGTTCAAAGAGAAAAATATATTTATAAAAATTTAGCTTGATCGGACATCGATTGATACACTAACTAATCGTGTTTCATGCTGATAAAAAAAAAACTAATTGTGTTTCATTTTATGAAATGGATGGTACATATGAATCTTAATAAAAACCATTGATCTTATAAGGCAAAATATGGTAAGTTTGTATGCTTATCGATATTCAATAAAGTTAATTTTTTGCATATACGTTCTACTCTATTGGGCATACAAGATGAGCGGTTTGGATTACCTTCCTTGGTTACATGGAGCCCACAAAATGAAGTCTTGAGAGATAGGATGAAGTCTTGAGGGGAGCTGCCCCCAAAATGTTTGAGCGAATTTCATGAGACTAAAAGTCCATGTGGTTCGGGACTTGGGAGGGTAAGACTAGATGTAAACCTTGTCTTTCCACTATTTGCGCAAAGTGGTTGCTCTCTGACTCGAGAAAACATTCTTATGCTTGTCAGTATTGTACTAAATAATGACGTGGACACATATTTGACAGAGCCCTATTATGTTCATCAAATTGATGAAGTTGTATATACTTAAAAATGAATGTTCTTGTGGCAAGTACACGATGATTCCAGCTTCCTTGTACCTGGGATTTTCTGCTTCAATAATATTTCCCTAACAATATTATAGTCCATCAGGGTACATATCTTACTTCTACAGCACGCAGTCATGCACATGATTTAAACTTAGAAGAAGGAAACGTGATTGGTAACTTCAATGGAGAATTTTGGGGAATGTTTGCAGGTCACCAGGTGTTGCATTTTAGTTTTCGATGACAATTTTAATGATCTTTGGTTCTAATAAGAATATATTCAATTTGTTTTGTATGGATGTTGTGCATCTGGAATAATCTTCATTTTTTTATTGAATTTTGCAGTTCGTTGGAAACCTCATGTCTCTTTTTCTATTGAAAGATGGAACGGTATGTGCATGCTTGTGATTCCAAGCTGATTTCCATGTCCTATATTTTTCTATGTTGTTTGTTGTATTACCAGTACCAATTCATTATCATAGATTTAGTTGTTAATGCTTGCATTACACTCGAGAAACTCTGACCTTCATTGTACCAAAAAAATTATTTATCTGACCTTCATTGTACCAAAAAAATTATTTAATGTTAAATTTCTCTTTTGCATCTCTAATGCAATTTTAGCTATAAGTTAGCACTGAAAAATAAAGATGGCAGAAAGATGAGGAGAGTCCTATTTATTATGAAGTGAATGATTTTTATTTCCTTTTTTCCCCCTCCTTGGCTAAGGGAGGCTTTCCCTTTTTCTTTTGTTTCTTTAATAATTTCTTTGGTGGACGTTTTAATGATATCTTTTTTATTTTATTTTAAAAAAGGGATAAAATCAAGGGTCCCAAACCTTTTTCGATAGTCTCAAAATCAATCAATGAAGAGAGTTTCAAGAGGAGTGACTTCCCTTAGTTGGTTTGAGTGGCATAGCCCATTGGAGTAGTTGTCTATCCGTGGGAAACAATTGTCTAGCCATGTCGACAATTAGAGCTATAGAGTTTTCGACTTGGTTGGCTCCCATTTTTGGCATTCCTTTTGTTAGAAAATTTTGTCAAATTGACAAACTTGACCGTTCCATTCTGCGAATCCTTCACACCTCTACCCAAGTATCTGAAGGGTATCAAGGTCTAAAAAAAAGTTGATACAGTATCCAACACATGTCAAAAAGTGTCCAATGAGTGCTAGTGCCGGACATGCATCGAGCACGGAAACGCGCCTTCTTCGTAGTGTCAAGAAGTGTACGTGTTTCTTGGGTTGTTCAATATATATATTTTTAAGATAGCAAATAAAATATTAAAATA